CCTCTGGTTCCGGCAAGGAAAGGACCATCTCCACACTCTCCCGGAGGTGTAATCTCACAAGGGCTTGGGGGAACCAGGAAGGGGCATGAGTAGGTCCTGAGAGCTTCCTCGGCTGAAGATTCAAGGGTCCAGGCCCCAGGGGTAAGTTGTCCCTAGGCCCTGTAGAGGTCACGTTCCACTCAGCTTCTTCCTTCTCACCCTGGGGAGACTGAGGACGCCCCAGCCCCGACAGTAAACTCCTCTCTGGGACTCTGTTAGTCCTCTGGGCGGGGAGAAGGGAGTGGGACCGCAGGATGCACAAGGTACTGTACCGGGTGCACTTAGGGCAAACCCTGACCACACAGATACCCGGTCAGCTGATTCACCGGGCACTCCTCTCCTTACGTCTGTGTGGTCGCTGACTTCCCGCATTCTGGCTTGAACCTGGGCGGCAAGCCATGAGTGTGCTTGTGAAATCGAGGCCCATTTCTGCCTTGTGAAATTGAGGATATGAAATTAAAAAGATACTCATGGAAACATAAAGCATTTATTATTGCCATAGTCAAGGCAAAATCTCTGGAAACAATTGGCCTTGATAATGGAGGTAGAATCAGAACCACTATTCATGAGTTTACACTCTGTTCTCTGCCGTTCACACGTCACAGTTTCTACCACGGGCATCTACCACGGGATGGACCTTTGTTACACAAGAGAGAGAAGAACGAACTTGGGAGTCACAAAGCATGGCTTACCTACCTCCCTTAGTTACCTGACTTCAGACCAATCACTTGTGGTGAACCTGTTTCATCCTGTGCTGATTCAAAAAAAAAAAAAAAAAAAAAAAGATGGGATGGGGCAGAGGGGCCTGAACGAACCCAGCTGCTTGGAGGGCCTCTTGAGATAATGTGGGTGAGAACCAGGAGGACATAAATGAAATTGCCCAGGATGCTTGAAAAAAATGATACAAAACAGAGTATTCCTAGTAACAGTGTTTGGAAGCCCTGAAGGGAAGGGTGGGAACCCCATCGTGTAGCCTCTGAGCATGGCAACGGGCGGGACAGTCACCGAGCATCCGAAATCTTGGGGCAGGATGAAGGACATTGATGCCCAAGCCTCCAGACTCACAGAGGAAGGAGCTGG